TGTTGAGTCTCTTGGTCTTCTTTCCTAGTTATGGAATGGAGTGGGGCGTGACAAGTTCTAAGTTGCTTCTCTCCTTGATTAGTTTCCACCCATTGCTTCTTGTTCTACCCTCAGGTGCTCTGGAGAATAGCTTAAATCCCTCTTTTTTGTGGCAGCCCCTGAGATATTGGAACACTGCTATAATGTCACCCCTAGTCCTTCTCTTCATCTTCCTTGCTCTTCTCTGCACTCTTTCTAGAGTCTCAACATCTTTTTACATTGTGGCGACCAAAATTGAATGCAGTATTCCAAGTGTGGCCTTACCAAGGCATTATAAAGTGGTATTAACACTTCACGTGATCTTGATTCTATCCCTCCGTAGCCTAGAACTGTGTTGGCTTTTTTGGCAGCTGCTGCACATGGCTGGCTCATATTTAACCTTGTATAAATATTTTGACCTTGTAAAACATTCTAAATCTTAGAGGGGGAAAAGGGTATGGGTTTGGGAACCTTTTCTGAAGGAAACTCATCTGAGGTTTATGCTAGTACCTTTAGATAAGATAATGGTAAAAGTTTCCCTCGCACATACTGTATGTGCTAGTCATTCCCCACTCTAGGGGGCAGTGCTCATCTCAGTTTCAAAGCCAAAGCTGTCCGAAGACGTCTCCATGGTCATGTGGCCAGCATGACTCAAGGCGCACAGAACGCTGTTACCTTCCCACCAAAGGGAGGTTTTTCTACTTGCATTTTGCCATACTTTCAGGTTGGCAGAAGCTGGGACAAGTAATGGGAACTCACTCCATTACGTGGCACTAAGGATTTGAACCGCCGAACTGTCGACCTCTTTCTTCGACAAGCTCAGCATCCTAGCCACTGAACCACCGCGCCCGTAATATCTTTAGATATCTTACCTTTTATTCTTCCTGACTTTTAAAAACTCAAGTGTATTTTTTAATTTATTTATTTCTGCTGTGGCTGTTCTTAGGCTACTAACAGTTGCCAGGAATTATTATCTTCTTTATTACGGCTTCTTTATTGTATCTTCTAAACTATTTCACAAACATTTAGTTGAAAGGCCATAAAAACCCTCACAGGATTAGCCTGAACATAAAAAAGTGTGTGATGTGTGGTGGGGGAAGCCATCTATACTTCTCTCGGAGCCTTTGATAATAGAATAAATAAACAGAAAATATCCTATGATTCTTCAGATGCTCTGATGTGTCTATCACTACCACGATCAGAATCGGGCAAGCCTTAGTATTCTCTGCAATACTCTATGAAGGTGAAAGTTGGACTTTGAGGAAGGAGGCTAGGAAGAATATTGACGCTTTTGAACTCTGGTATTGTGGAAGCCTCCTGAGGATTTTGTGGATAGCCAAGAAAATAAACAAATGGATGATTGAAGAAATCAACCCAGAGATCTCCCTCAAGGCAGGAATGACCAGGTTCACATTATTCTACTTGGGACACATTATGTGAAGGCTCAGATGTCTGTGTTTATTTATTTTATTTATTTAGTTTGTCCAACATCTACGAGATAACAACAGGAAATGGGGAAGAATAAATGGGGACAATAGGACAGGGACGGTAGGCACGCTGATGCGCTTATGCAAGCCCCCTTCACGGACCTCTTAGGAATAGGGTGAGGTCCATGCTAGACCGTTTAAGGTTAAAGTTATGGGGAGTTGAGGATGTAACAACAGAGTCAGGCAGTGCATTCCAGGCAATGACCACTCTGTTGCTGAAGCCATATTTTCTGCAATCGAGTTTGGAGCAGTTTACCTTTAGTTTTAAACACATTTTAAAATTTAATTTAAAAATTTAAAAACTATTTAATGCCGAGATAGGTGAACCGTGAATATTACATCTACATGGAGAGAAGCATGCAGTGGGCTACTCCAGGACTCTGTCACAGGTCCTATACTCGTCAACATCTTCATAAATATCCCGAAGGTGGCTCCATCACTGGAGGGTTTCAAGAAAAGATTGGACAACCGTTTCTCTGTTATAATGACATCAGAGGAGGTATTCAGCAGGTTCTGACCAGTTCTGAAGAACCGGTAGCGGAAATTTTGAGTAGTTCGGAGAAGAGTAAATACTACCTCTTCCTGCCCTCATCTATTCTCTGTCTCCCGAGTCCCAGCTGATCGGGAGGAAATGGGGATTTCGCAGTAATCTTCCCCCGGAGTGGGAATGGAGATTTTACCCTTGCCATGCCCACCAAGCCACACCATACCCACCAAGCCAAGCCCACAGAACCGGTAGCAAAAAAAATTGAATCTCACCACTGACTGACATGTCATGAACACTTTTCTTGACACAGGCATAATAAGCATACCTGTTAGGAATATAATCTAACGGTTGGGTTGGCAATATATAAATCATATAGCAATGTGTTCTGACCCCCCTGTCCCACACCAACACACACTCTGAGCCAGATATAAGTTACGGCATTTAATTAACAGGTGCTTGGCAGCAAACCAGCACAGACAAGCTTGGGCAGCAATAAACACAGATAAGGCTTGGCAGAAATCCAGCTTGCCAAGCTCACAGCAATGTCCTCCGACATTCAATCCTGCATTGACTTCTGCAAAGAGGGGCATGTGCACAAGGAGTCTTTTTGTAGTCTGGAGAGGAGCCTAATGACCACCAGCTGAGTGCAATCCCCTCCTGTAACTGCGCAACTGGTACTTACACCTATTAGCTCTTCGATATCGTGCATCCAGGAACAACTCACTACTGGCCTCCGGCTCACTCTCCCTTGTCTCCTTCCCACTGGTCCAAGGCTCAGGCGCCACCTGGTGGCCAACCAGTCTCTCTGCGCCCTGCTCGGAGTCGGAACCCTGTCCAGAGTCGTCCACATCCCCCAGAGCCGACTCATCGGGCCTCTCGCTGTTGGAGTCTGGTGGCAGCTCCAACGG